TTGCTTTTTAGCTTTTAACAGATAAAAAAATGCTGAGGGAAAAGTGGCGCCAAACATGGGCTGAATGTGATACTTCAATGGATGAGAAAGAGGCTGATATTTTTAATATGTGCAACTTGTGACTAGGAATTTGTAAGTGGAATTATGAGCTTTTGCTGAGGGGTATTTGACAGTTAAATGCAAATGCAGGTGATTTTGATGATGCAGTCAATTATACTATCTTAAAATCCAAGATGGCTAGAAAATATGCTCTGGTACCAGCTAATGATCCATTTATCACTGGTAATTCTCCATTAACATTCCAGCAACTTTGAGAGCATGTGCAAGAACAAAATATCAATGATTAACTGTTAGTGTTCTTGAAGATCTTTACTTTCAGGTGACCAAATAGATCATAGCATGTTGATCTAAAGTACTAGAATTATCCTGGGTACTAGGGGATCATAAGATGAAATTTTATAGTTCAACAATTCCCTTCAACTAATCTGAGTTCTATAAGTTAAGCAACAATTAGGGATTGAAATTCAGCAGCTGTTATCTTATAGATATTCCTAAAAGTCAATTTTCTTGTTCTCATGATTTGTTCTATTCCTGTTTTATCAAAAAGATAATAAGTTCTAATACAAGCTCATTTATAATATGCAAATACTTGATTATACAAAAAACTAGGTTGATAGTAATTTATCACTTAATATAATAATTTATCTAAAAGATAAGTATGCATCAAGATTATTTGTCAATTTTTGGTTCTTTAACCTTTGTAGATATTTATACTCGATTAGAACTTGTACTTTTAAATATTATATGATAACCACATGTGATAGGACTATATTCATATTTTCAGAAGTTGTTTCAAGGAGATCATCTATAATTTGATCAACAATGGTATTTATATTGATATTTTTCATGTTTTTGAGGTCTTAAAATGTTTTAGATGAAGAATAGTGAAAAATCTTGTTTATTTATATTTTTCAAGACTTGTTGTGTTACTGATCTTCATATGTTTATATGATATATTTAGGAATATTTTGCATTTTTGAAATGATATATTTCATTTATTATTAACAATATCAATTATACCAAGAGTTTACAAGCAAAAATGTATCTTTGCCTCTTCCTCTTTATCTGAGGGACTAGAAGTCCTCATTATATTAATAATTAGAACTTATTCTGGAAAAATCTTGCCCTTAAAGAAGAGATCAGTGTAACGCGCCCTTCCAAATTTGATCAGTACAATTTATAAATTTTGGCTTATCTTCTTTCACATATATTATTGATGAGAGACACCTTAAATTATGATAAAAGTCAAATAAATGTTGGGGAAAAAAATCCAATTACTTTGCACAATATACTTGCATGATTTCATCAAGGTCAGTCGCGTATGAAAGTGTAGGATCATTCTTTATTCAGTCAACCGTTTCTGTTTGAAATTCTCGAAAATCTCTGGAAATATTATATCCGTTTGCCAACCACTATAATTATTAACGAACATTTACTATAATGACGCTATTATATTTCAATACTTACATCGTGATCTAAATTATTAGAAATTTTTATCTTATCAACGTGTCCCCACGAAAGTTTCGACCTTGACTGTATAAATATTATTCCATGACTTGCCTAATTTAATCAATTACTTAAAAAACTATTTACCTTTTCCTCTTTTTCTATAGTATTTTTTTTCGACGGTTGATTCAGGTTCATTGCAGGTGGTATCGAAGATTGAATCTTCTTTCCTCTGGGCGTTTGTTGCGCAGAGGGAACACTGGTCGATTGGCCAGCGTCAACAACAATTTTATTACTTTATTTGTTTCGTTTAGGAGGTTTAGTGCTCTTGCTTTCGGTATCTTTCATTGACCTATGCTTTCCGGATTTTGTTCTCACACCTTTAGAAATATCAGGAGGACTTTGGAAGAAAATGTCTATCTCATCCTACAGAAATACACAAAGTCAATATAGTGAAATATAAATTGGATGTGCTAATCCTTAACGAAAAAACTCGGATCCACACCTTTTTTTGAAATAATCATCACCTTCTGGAAAGTTTTCGACTTCAGCCCTTTGGTTGTTTAATTGACTCATTTCTTAGAACTCTCTCCTAGATGATTAAGTTCTGAATCGCAATATTCTGCCTGAGAATCGTTTCGCATATCTTGCAATAATTCCCGATTATATATATCGTGCATCGTAATACGGGCTTCGGTTATATTTTCAAGTATTTCTGTCTTCTCTTAAACGCTAGTTGAGCGAATAAGTCAACATTCTGCAATAAAAATTCAATAATTTGAATATACCTTTAACTTTTTGGTGCGATCCAGTTGTTGTTTCAACTTCAACATTTTAATTCTCTCCCAGTATTCTTCAATAGAACGTGCTTTTATTGTAAGATGGAGATTTTGAAAATAACATTAGCTTTTTCATTATATTTTGAACTCCCTGTAGCAACCTTAGTGAGAAATTCGCGAAGTTTCTGTTCCGCTAAACCGCGTTGCAAGAATAATAAATCAAATCCCTGTAAAAATTGACTGGTGTGAAATGTTCAAATATACTATTCAAGTCTTGCTTATTCGCAAACATTTTCAAGGATTCAGTGAATAGAATAAATAGTTGTTAATATGATAAAATGGGCAAAGAGAGGTAAATATTTTTTTCGTGTTATTTTCTTGACTCGTGTATATTTTATTGGACACCATGTCGATCTTACTATAAATAAAAGAGCCCGTGTTTGCATTAAATTTTAAAAGGTTTTTCGCTATTACGTATAAGCTTTGAAGCTTGCGCAACGAAATGACTGACAAAAGGCTTAATGGGGTGATTATTTCTATCTTCAAGTAGAGACTGCAAAGAGACTTGTTATTACTGCCGTTTTAAGCCCTTTTTGAAGCTTGCGCAACGCAACAACTGTTAAAAGGCTTAATGGGGGTGAAATGACCTTATAGAGTATAAGTTTTCACAATCATATTTTTATTATGTATACTTTTGAGCAAATTCTAAGAAAAAGTGGGTTAATTACATTATCGATCAATTGTTAACTTTGTAGGTGATAAGAATATTATTGTTTATTACTTTCAGATGTCGAGAAGCGAATGAAATATGATGCTGTCAAAGAGGGAGGGAGTACGCGGATCCTAGGCCATTAAATGCTAGTCCCAGCATCAAATTATTTTTTTGCTTCTCACTTTTACGAAAAATATCTAAATTTTTTCTATCACTATGTAAATAATAGTAAGTTTGATTATTTTGCTTGATTTTTTCGTTTTGCTTGCACAAGGCAGATAAAAGGATTCACTAACAGGGACCAATGTTCTTAGCTTAATAAAAAAGAATTTAATGCCATCCCGACGAAGTTGTGATCACCTATATTCCTGGCTCAACAAAGGGGTTTTATTATGTAAGTACTGCGGGAAGTTTTGAGAATAAATTACATGATACATAACTTATGCCTTGACGAACTATGTGTATAATTGGTATCGAAATAATGATAATGCGCATTTCAAATTCTAAATCAATAACTTCTTTGTAATGAAACTTGATCGAGAAATATTAGCATACATGCTCACTTCGCATCCACATCACACGAAAAAAATAGTCACGTAAAAAATCGTGCCAAGGCGCTATGTATGTATTGCAGAGAATACTATGGAATAATAAAATTTTATATTATTTATCTTCTAACTAAACTCAATTCTTTGACAATTATATGAACGTTAGTTCGGTTTAATTAGCGATATTATATAATGCTGAAGATCGCGGATCGCTTTATTGGTACGTAATCGCATTTACCCACAAATGATTATGAAATTTAAAAAGGTTGGTATTTTGCGTCAGAATTATCATCTTTAGATTCATTGGTATTCTCACTTTGAGAGTCATCATCAAAAAAATTCTCACCATCTAATGCTTAGAAATTCTTTCATCTTCTGAATTATTAAAGATACAGTGTGTTACAAAACTTTTTGGGATGTTTTATTAATTCATTACTCAAAAACTGCATTATTAATTCACATCTCTCTTTCATTAAATCTATAAGATTAATTATAATCCTATTTGAAAATTTTTTTATTCTTCTATCATAAATTATTCTGATTCTAAAAAATTTTGAGGTAATCTTATTTCTACATTTCTTTTAACATTAGATCAAAGGTTTTCAATAGGATTTAAATCATAACTATTAGAAGATCAATCTATAATTTGAGAATAATTTTTATTTAAAAATTTTTTGATAATTTTACTAGTATACTTGAAATTATTGAACATTTTTCTAATTAGATTTGCACTTCGTATTATTGAATAATTGTGTTTTTGAATAGTTAAAATGCTGTTTCATCAGAAAATAAGATTTTTTCCCAATTATTATTAAGATATTTTGTTGTTTAAGTTATATGAGCTTTTTTATAAACAGTAGTAAGTATAAATATCTTTAAATATAATTTATTTTTATAATCTATTTTTATCAAATAGATTGAATAGGATTATTTCATATTAACTTAATTATCAAAATCTTATAAAGAGTCTTAGATTATAATGCAAATATTAACCAATTGCTTTTAATATACAGTATATAAAGTAATCTTTTTAAAATAAATTTTATTTGATTTTCTTGAATTATTATTTTTAAAGTTTAATTTTTTAAGATTATAATAGATTTATATTATATTTATGCCAATTTTTAAAAAAAAAATTTTTTTAAATTGCTAGCTCAGCCTTACTTTATTTGATTAAGTAGAGTATACATATGTTTATGCTAGTACTACTTATATTAATTAAGTAAAGTTCAATAGAAAAGGAAAAATTCACCTTGTGGCTTGTCGCCACTCCTATCAAGGAGCTAACTAGCCAAGACTGGGCTAGTGCTATATAAAATTTTAAAGATATTGATGAGTATATAATATTTTTTATATATTTACCTATGTAGTTATTGACCAGATCGACAAATTGGTCTTTTATGTGTTTTTCTGTTTCATTAAGCCAGTTACTTTTGATTGGAGTGCTATATCTAATAGCTCTCTCGATCTTTTTTGTGATACTCTGTATCTCCCTTCACTTGTGAAAGATATCACACCTAGTTTTCCAGATACTAAGAAGATATTTGCTGATGTTTTGTCAGATTTCTTTTATGCATTGTTTTCTAAGGAAGTAATCTGATATACATTTGATAACTATGTTAACCATTTCTTTTAGGATGGCTACTTTGATCAGAAATTTTAAGTATACTAGAAAACATAGTTAATTATTTTTCTAATATTCTTGTAAGTGTCTTTCTGTATCTAGTATTTTGCTAAGTTGCTATATCTTTTGAACTATAATGTGCTAAATTTGCTTTTCTGTTTTTTCTCATTGATATTTTAGAGGAAGAAATGAGTATTTGCTTCTCTGTTATTGTATTTGATACATCTCTCATCTTTATATAAGGTGGGTAGACAACTGAAAAATTTAGTTTTAATAAGTAGTTCTTTATTCCAGAGATTGAGATGAACTTTATCTATTGTTTATTTTTCCAATCTATTGTTAAGTTACTCATTTGGATTGATTGGAGGTTTTTCATTGTTGTAGGTCAGTGAATATACCTAATTATCCTATCATAAATTTATTTCTTGTTCAATTTAGAAGTCTCCATTTTGCTAGGTTTGTGACTCTGGTTAGCTCCTTTGTCATAATTTTAATGGGGATCTTGATTTTTATGTAGTTCTATTGGGAATTAATATATATTGCTAATTTTGAGTAGGAGTGATGTGTATCATTTTGTGTCCAGGAATTATTCCCTTGTTGATGTTGATTGTAGCTAGCTGATCTGCTTGTTTGTTGTATTTATAGCTAGAATGTATTTTAACTTTTGTGAATTCTAGTTTGAGATAGTTTTATCTAACTATATCAAGATTCTTTTGTAAGATTTCTATGTTTTTTTGTTTTTTAAGGTTGTATATATAGTTTGTTTTTATTGGTTTTTGTATACTATTAATGGCAGCCTGACTATCTATGTATATAGTTGCCCTACTGAAAGTGGGTAGTATGCTTATTACTTTCATAATAGCTACTAGTTCAGTCTGGTTAAGAAGGAGAAGTTTTTTATTTGTCTTCAGAATTGTGATTTTTGATTCTCTCTGGTAATTATGATTCAGCCAAAATCTATGTAGTATTGATTACTATGTTGTGACATAGAGCCATATGTGTATACTTTGAAATTGATATAATTTTGAATTTGAAGTCTAATATTTGCCAATTTACTAGTAATAATAGGTTCTGCATTTAGTATTATTTTGGGTTCTTTCATTATGTGATATATTTCTACATTTGAACCCTCTGTTTCATGATATTTGATTGGTAGTGGAGTACACCATTGTTTCTTTAGTTCAATTGATTTTAAGTTTAGTGAATCTCTGTTTCTAAAAATTATGTTAACTTCTGTAGAATTGAATCTTGTTAATATCTTGCTGCACTGGATATGAATTGATGTTGTACTTATATTGGTAGTTGGTAAAGTGCACTTGAGCTCAGGTTTGTTATTTTGATTAAAGTTACAGTCTTCACATTTAAAGAGTAGTAATTGGTTAGGTGCTTGTATATAGTATCTATATAATGTATAATTGTTGTCTATTTTTTTTGTTTTCTTTCTATTACTGCATAGTTGTTTATTTTTATGATAATCCAGTGAGGTTTCATTATTTGTATTTTGGTAAGAGGACTATATTGTGGGAAGTAGTTTATATATTCTTGTTGTTTTTTTAAAATATATGATGTAATTATATGGGGTTAGACCTGGTACTGTCTTGCAATAAATTCTGATAACTTGGCATCATTGTATGACCTTTTTTCTATCCCCATTGAAGAGTTGTCCAATAAAGAATATGTTGTATCTCCTTAGTTCTAAACAGATTTTCCTATACTTTATATCTTCAGTTTTATTATTTCTTCTATGGTGGTATTTACTTTTCTATCATCTTGAAATTGCTGTGATAAACTCTATGGAAGGTAAAGCCATGTATTCTAAGCATCCAAATTATATCATGTGTCAGATTTCTTTCTGGTTCAAATATGGGGACCTGGATATTGTTATATGTCTCTTTGATAAACCAAAATATATTCTGCAATGTTTGAAGATAGTAGTAAGCAATATCTCTTGTGATGTTCTCTTGATTGATTCTGGTATACTATGAAATTGAACTTGTCTATTCCAAAGGTGCATTATGTTATATTTATGTTGATTATATAGTATATTATTGAGTGCTATTCTGGTAAGTTCAACTTTGTGCTTGAATACAGTTATGAAATTACTCATCAGTTGGTTACAGGTTTGTCAAGTTAGAATAAGATCATTATAAAGATATTCAATGCTGAACAT